TCAATTTCATATAAGGGAAACCCTAGGCTATCAGGCATCATACAATCAGGCAATTCTATCATGCAATTCCTGAAGACCCCTAGCCTAGCACTAGCATGCTGTTCTAACATATCAATTAACTGTATGGTATTTTGGGGCTACTTACTGGCTCCGGCTGATCGTACATCCCGCATCCTCCTTTACTTATTTTGAAAACCTTTTTGAAGAAATCGTTTTGAAAATCCTTTCCTTGATTTGAGATTGGAGTTACACGCATGTTCCTCCAATTCACTCAAACCAAGGCTCTGATACCAACTTGTAACACCCATAAAATTCAAGCCAATTTAAAACTTTTAAAACATTTCCAAAACCATTAATCATTACAAAACTTGTTTTCAAAATGTATCATATCAGAGTATCCCAGAAACAAAGTTATAAAAAGTGAGGAGCTGTACGATCACGCCTTTGCCTTGCCACGATCCCCTGATGTACCTGAAACAATAAACTGAAACTGTAAGCCCGAAAGCTTAGTGAGTTCCCCCAAAATACCCATACCCGCAACAATACACATAGAATCATAACAGCATACTATGGGTCCAATCAACCATCGGGTTGGAATACCCCAGGCCCACAACCAACCGGTTGGATTGCCAACACACTATGGGTCCAATCAACCATCGGGTTGGAATACCCCAGGCCCACAACCAACAGGTTGGATTGCCCACATACTCTGAGTCCAATCATCCTCGGGATGGAATACTCACGGCCCACAACCTACAGGTTGCAATGCCCAGGTCTATTGGCCTTCACACCAAGCAGATAAGCCTCAACCGCCAAACAAATATGTACACATATAATAGATAATCACCTAACAGACTATAGACAATACTTGATCTAACGGATCTTACCACATAACACATAACACCATCCTATCTACCAGGATGCCAATCTAACAGATCATACCCCATGTCATATAATATTATCCTACCCTCTAGGATACCGATCTAACAGATCATACTAGCATAACATAACCATATAATAATCTAAAGGGCCGACCTTGGTGCCTTAGACCCTTGAGTATAGTGAGGAAAACTCACCTTGCAACTGTCGTCTGAAACTAGAAAGCTCAACTCCCGGATCTCCAACACGAACTCCACCACCTATAGTTACCATAAAACCCTTTTTCATAATTCTCTAAATTACCAGAATACCCTCAGAAGTAATCTGGTCAACTCTTGGTCAAAGTCAAAGTCCACAGTCAAAGTCAACAGTCCACAGTGAAAGTCAACAATCCATGTTGACTCGACTCGCCGAGTGCAGTTCACCGACTCGTCGAGTCCTTCCTGAACTCGAGAAGTCGTGAAATCCTTGATTGGCTCGTCGAGTTCCCTTTTAACTCGCCGAGTTCATACGTGTCCAAGAATTGGGAGAAACCCTAGCCGACTCGCCGAGTTCAAGGCAATCTTCAACGGACTAGCCGAGTTGTTCATCAACTCGTCGAGTTCATGCCCATCTTCATATGACTCGCCGAGTCGACCTTGCGACTCGCCGAGTCCCTTCAATTCTTTATCCATACAGATGCTTTTTAAGCCATGCTGAGGCTCCATATTGTAGATCCAGCTTCCGAAGGCATGTTTATCACGTAAAGTTGTAAACTTTACGTGCATGCATGGTGATAATGACCTAAAACAAGCTAGAGAAGGGGGTTCTAGGCAAAAGAGCTTCACCAACATGCTAAAGACTGAGACTTTATGATGATAAGGGCCAAGATGAGCCTAGATCTGAAGTTGCAACTTCAGATCTTGGTTCATCACTCGAAATGCAACACCAAATGCCCAAAATGGTCCCAAAACTCAATATAGAAAGGGGGTTTAACTAGAAGAAGCTCAAGGTGATGACTTGATACCTCCAAATGGATGATAAACTGAGGTAGACTTCAGATCCCCAGTTGTTCCTTGTTCAAAACTTCTTGGTCTTCAAACCTTTTCTCACCAAATCCCCCTTCCAAGCTAAGAAGCACACCAATATAGAGAACAACACAAATTAGGGTTTTTGAATTCGAGGGGAGCAGTAAGAGAGGCTAAGGGGGGATAAGTTATCCTTAAATAGGGTGCAAACCCCCGAAATTTAGGGTTTCATCTGCCAGCTCCTACTCGTCGAGTCCCCTATTGGACTCGACGAGTAGGTCACTTAAACACGCGGACCAACCCGCTGCTACTCGACGAGTCATAGCGCTAACTCGTCGAGTAGACCTTCAACGTGAAGTCTAAAAGGAAAAATATTAATAATACCTGACGGTTGGGATGTTACAATTCTCCCCCACTTGACTTAGACTTCGTCCTCAAAGTCAGCTGTAGCGAATAACTCCGGGTAATGCTCCTGCATCTCAGCCTCCGACTCCTATGTCCACTCGGATCCCCTCCGATGCTCCCATTGTATCTTTACCAACGGAACCTCCTTGTTGCGCAGGACCTTCAATTTTCTTTCCAAAATGGCAATCGGCCTCTCAATATAATTCAGGCGCTCATCAACCTGAATGTCATCCAGTGGCACCACTGCCTCCGGGTCCACAATGCACTTTCGCAACTACGAAACGTGGAAAGTACTGTGGATCCGACTAAGCTCCTCCGGCAGCTCTAGACTGTAAGCCACCTTGCCAACCCTGGCAATGATCCTGAACGACCCAATATATCGGGGACCCAATTTTCCCCTCTTCCTGAAGCGGATCACACCCTTCTAGGACGAGACCTTTAGGAGTACCATGTCACCGACCTGAAACTGTAGCTCGGACCGGCGTCGATCAGCGTAACTCTTCTGCCGACTCTGAGCGGTCTGCAGCCGCTGTATAACCTGCTGAATCTTCTCGGTAGTCTGTAAGACCACCTCCGTCCGACCCATCACCCTGTGACCAACCTCACCCCAACAAACCGGGGTGCGACATCTCCGCCCATACAACAGCTCGAATGGCGGGGCGCCAATGCTGGAATGATAGTTGTTGTTGTAGGCAAACTCTGCAAGCGGTAGGTGGGAATCCCAGCTCCCATCGAAATCGATGATACACGCCCTCAACATATCCTCGAGGGTCTGAATGGTCCGCTCGCTCTGACCATCAGTCTGCGGATGGAAGGCTGTGCTGAAGTGCAACCGTGTGCCCAGCTCCTCGTGAAACTTCTGCCAGAAGCGGGAGGTAAACCGGAAATCCCGATCAGATACAATGGAAACGGGAACCCCATGGCGAGACATGATCTCGCGAACATACACGTCGGCCAATTTCTCTGCCGATGAGCTGGTTATTCACTCCTTGATTGTGATTAGGTGATTTGTAACATTGGGTGTACCACGCTAATTTGCATGGTTAGGTGATTTGTAACATTGGGTGTACCACGCTAATTTGCATGGTTATTCACTCCTTGATTGTGATCCTCGGCATCCCAGTCACAAACATGAAGGGCATAATCGAGATTTAAACATGCCATTGAAGAATATCACCCAACTAGTAATTGGGTTCTATACCATGATCCATAATCCATACTTAGGTAAAATGACCATTTTACCCCAGGCCCACAAGATACTTAACTAAGGCCCAAGTCCAAAACCAAACAAGTCCAAAACTCCAAAATCCATAAAGGCCCACTAATGGCCCAATTTGCTAAATTGGGCCCAATCCCTCTAATGGGCCTTACCCTAAATTCCAAACGTATTCTTAGCCCAAATATCTGACTTCTGATGACCCACTAAGGCCTAAGGAAACAAAGTCCAATGTATGGCCCACTTCTGCTGGGTACGCGGGGCGTACTCCTCTGTACGCTAAGCGTACCGACTGCATGGCGTGTACGCTGCGCGTACATACATGTACGCCCAACGTACTTCTCTGTTAAGTCACTTTTCCCATTAAGCACTTAATACTCTATGCGTCAAGATGATCTAAAATGAAGCAACCATCTCGGATCTACAACTTCTCCTTTGAACAACCACCTTACTTTGCTCTTCACTTGCTTGGAAAATGGATTCACAACACCAAAATGCTCTCTAATGGCCTTCCAAGCTCCAAGAACACTCAAAGAAGGATTAGGGTTTCGTGGTGGCTGTCTAAGGGTGAGAGGGAGGCTGATATCTAGGGCATTATGTTCTTTATATAGTGCTTAGCCCCAAAATTAGGGTTTAGGAACTCTGATCGTACTTCTCATACGTTGGGCGTACTCCTCCAACACTCGCGTCCAGTTATTCCTCTACGATGGGCGTACCCCTAACTTACGATGGGCGTACTTCCGCGCTGGCCACCTTGCATGCATGGTACCTTCTCACCACTTTTCTCCATTAGGGACCAATATTGCCAAAAACTTCAAAGTGTTATAACTACTTCGTTCTAAGTCCGTTTCCGACAAACTTTATATCCACGATAAGGTGGCGAGAATCCCTATGCCCTTAACAATGCGCCCAAGCATTACAGTCTTCCGAATAAAACCCAAAACCCATAAAGGGCTCGAACTGTCACTTTACCGATATACCCCTTCGGCTTCAAGACACGAACCAGCTCCCGGATCACCTCATTTACATTACCTATACGTAAATGGGTTTAGATCTCTCTCTTCCAAAGGCCCCAAGCCTTATGATAATCTATCCTCATGCCATAATCCCGAATTAGGAAAGCGATTTGGAACAGGGCGTTACATGAGAATCTTAGGATGTCCGGATGTATTGCACAAACTAGCCTTCAAAAATTTTGCAAGTATTTCATGAGATTATATGGTCCACGATATCTGCGAAAACCTATTTGTGGTGACATCCAACAGTTGTATGCTCATCATTCAATTGTGCACGGCTTTCGTGGAATGTTGGGAAGCCTAGATTGCCTCCACTAGGCATGGGGTTGTTGTTCGAATGCCCATAAAGGGCAATACACTCGAGGTGATTATGGTTATCCAACCATTATACTTGAAGTGGTGGCCTCACATGATTTGTGGATATGACATGCATTCTTTGGCTCTGTTGGCTCCCTTAATGACATTAATGTTCTTAACATGTCTCTGTTATTTGACGACATGTATAACAGGATTGCACCAGACTCTTCCTTTCAAGTAGCTGGAACATCGTACATGAACGAGTATTATCGTGTCGACGGGATCTATCCGGATCATACGTGTTTTGTGAAGTCATTGTTATGTCCAAATGATCGCAAAAGGTTGAAGTTTAAGAGAGCTCAAGAGAAGGCGAGAAAGGATGTTGAACGAGCATTTGGGGCTTTGAAAAAACGTTGGTATATTCTTAAATATCCCGCGCCTTATTTGGAGGAGAAGAAAATTAGTATGGTGATGTATACTTGTATCATATTGCATAATATGATTCTTGAAAACGAAAGAAATATATTATGTGAGTATAACGAAAACGAGATCGTTCCACCGACACAAGTTTTTGAGATTGGAAGCGTGGAGTACCTAGCGAGGAGGGAAATAATTCATGATGTAGAGACACATCATGTACTACGTAGGGATTTGATGGAACATATTTGGAACGTCGGCCACATCGATCTTAATTTGGAACCGATCGACGATTTGGAAGGTCAATTTTCCGATGAAGATCCCATTTAGGTCTATCTAGGTTTGGTAATTTTAGTTTCTATGTTTTTTATTTTAATATGTAAGTTTTTGTTTGTGTTTGCTGTATTTTTCTTTGAGTTTTAATGAAATTGTAGTTTTAAATTAAGTTAGTTAAAAAAAGATGACAAGTATGGCAAGTAGTGTGACAAATATAATGTGGTATTTTTTTAACATCAAATTCATTAATTTAATATCTCACCATATCTCCAAAAAAAAAAAAAAAAAAAAAAAAAAAAAAAAAAAAAAAAAAAAAAAACCATAATACGATCTTAAAATATTCATTGAAAAAAAATCTAATATAAAATATTTTCCAACTACTAGATATATCCTAAATAATATGTAAAAAGAAAGCGCAGGAAAAAGAAATGTGGAATTCGTTGTTTTTCCACACGGAGAATGATTGTGGCGGTAGTGTGGAATGTGGAGGCCGGAGGCAGCTCCGTCACCGTCATAAGCTACAAATTCAACGCCTTTTGTATCTTTTTGTTTTTTAATGAAAATGACATCCAACCATTGTTAAAAAAAGTTAAATGCAGATAAAAATAAAATATTGAAATCCACTTAAATTTTTGTCTGCAAAATTAATAACAATAATAATCAAATTAGAACTTTTTTTATTATATAACTATAATACTGTATCATTATTTATAGATCATGAAGATATAAAAATGACTTAGTAATCTATAATTAGTATATGTAAAAGTTTTAATTCCAAATAAGCGCCCAACACTCTTTTCTATAGGTTTTATTATAACAGAAAAAGCAAAAAGTAAAAGTGTTTTCAATTTTCAAAGTCGAAAAAAGCTATAAATTAAATATAATAAAACCAAAGGGTAGTGAATAAGGGATGAAGAAAACTTTCCATATATGTAGAAGAATCTTGCAAAGATTGCACCTCACACCTCCATCGAAGACATGGCTTCTAAATTCTTGTAAGCATTTCGTCGAACACCTTCAGTGTCTAAAATTCGCACGCAAAAACACCCTTATCAGGTACTCTGTTTCCGTATGAAGTGGAGATAGAAACGGGTAACCCATTTACGAAACAGAAAACAAATGTAAAAAAATCGATGCATGTGTGAAGAAAACGTGCCCTTCTTCTCTCTTCTGTTTCGGTTTTGTCTTTAGCAAAAGGTTCCTTTTTTTCGTCTTTTTCATTTCTGGGTATCTCACTCTCTGTCAGATCTCTAGTTCTTTTATTAAAAAATTGATTGTTGTTGAAGTTCTGATTTGCCAGATCAAACTTCAATTGCTTTCCGATATTTTAAATTAATCCAACAACACCATTTTATAATATGAAGTTTGTTTCGGACGAAATGGTCACATGTTTGACCTGAATTTCTGGTTTTGAAAGGAGAAACCGATACTATTTTAATCACTTCACATGATTTCTGATAGTTTTTGAAGCAAATTCATTAATGGGGTTCTTTCATTTCCGGTCTGCTACTCATCGCCGGTTAATTCTCCGGTAACTCATGCCCTCTTTGTATTTTCTTCTTCCTCTTCATAACAGATCCAAAGTTCTACCATTCGAACACCCAAGTCAAAGATTCAATATTTTCATTGAACCACCATGTCATATGCTAATTCAAGATCTGTAAGGTATTTTTTCCTCTCAAATCTCTTAAAACATGCTCAAATTCTTCCATTTAGAAACTGTTCTTCATTTAATACTGCTGTTATTCGATTCTTGTTTGCTGAATTTTTGGTTTAATCTGCTGAGAGATAATCGATCTTTCCGAAATGAACCTACAGATTTCAAGATGAAGTTGAACTACCAAAGTTCCAATCAATCAACGCCGACGACTTATTTAAAGTCAAATACAACATAGAAGCAAAACAAATACCAGAAACAAGAATACCCGAAAAAAGAATCGAAAAACACACACGACCCTCCTTGAAATCCAAAGTTCTTTCAAGAGTTTTCTCCGAAGATTACGAAAGAGTCAAGAAAAAAATCTTGGATCCTCGAGGTCAATCCATACGAAAATGGAACAAGATTTTCTTAGTCGCATGTTTAGTTTCTTTATTCGTAGACCCTTTGTTCTTTTACTTACCATCAGTCAGAAAAAACGCTTGCATCGACATCGGATTCACCCTCGAAGTCTCTCTCACAATCGTAAGATCAGTAGCCGATGTTTTTTACATGATTCAGATATACATGAAGTTCGTAACTTCTTACGTGGCACCTTCTTCCCGTGTTTTTGGAAGAGGTGAGCTTGTTATAGATTCTTCCAAAATAGCAAAAAGATACATAAAGGGTGATCTTTGGATCGATTTTGTAGCTGCCCTTCCACTTCCTCAGGTATACAAAACATAAAAATCGATTCTTTTTTGTGTATGATTTTGTTAAATATAATATTTTATTTTATTTTTGCTTTCTTGATCTCATTGAAGCTGTTAATCTGGGTAATAATACCGAGCTTAAGTGGTTCAGCCATGGCGAACACAAAGAACGTTCTTCGTTTCTTTATCATCCTTCAATACGTTCCAAGACTTTACCTTATCTTCCCTCTCTCCTCACAAATAGTCGAAGCGACAGGTGTCGTTACAGAAACAGCATGGGCTGGAGCAGCGTATAACTTGATGTTATACATGTTGGCAAGCCACGTAAGTCGCAAACTTTTAATAAACAATGTCAAAATCCAAACAAAAATGGTGTTTTTTTTGTTTATAATGTTGAGTTTTTTACAGGTTGTAGGAGCTTGTTGGTATCTTTTAGCAGTTGAAAGGCAAGAAGCGTGTTGGAGAAGCATATGTGTTGTTGAAGATCCGAATTGTAAAGACGAATTTTTCGACTGTGAAAGAACTAACGAAGCTTCTAGACGTTCATGGTTCCAAACAAGCAATCTGACAAATCAATGTGTCCCCACTAGCGAGTTTTATCCGTTTGGTATCTATGGGGATGCACTCGAGTCAGAAGTGACGTCAGCCTTGTTCTTCAACAAGTACTTCTATTGTCTTTGGTTCGGCTTAAAGAATCTCAGGTAGAGAAAGATTCTTGTTTTCATCAAATTCTTCAACTTTAATTATGTTTTGACTTTGGACTTTTGACTATTGAATCACACAGTTCTTTGGGTCAAAACTTGTCAACGAGCACTTACATTGGTGAAATAATGTTTGCGATTGTGATAGCGACTGTGGGTTTGGTTCTTTTTGCGTTGTTAATAGGAAATATGCAGGTGAATTAGGGTTTTAAAAATTATACGATTTGAGGTCATGAATCATGATATATTATTAATTGTTGACAAGTTTTATTTTATTCACAGACTTATCTTCAATCGACAACGGTTCGATTAGAAGAATGGCGGATCAAGAGAACCGATACGGAACAATGGATGCACCACCGCCAACTGCCGCCGGAGCTCCGCCAGTCTGTCCGGAGATATGATCAATATAAATGGGTGGCAACTCGAGGGGTGGATGAAGAATCTCTTCTTAAAGGACTTCCGTTAGATCTCCGGCGAGATATAAAACGTCATCTTTGTTACGATCTAGTTCGCCGAGTAAGTTTAATCATTTGCATACAGCAAAAAAAAAGTATTAGGGTTTGAGTCTCAGCAGCTACAGTGTTAGAGTTTTAATTTTAATGTGAACCAAACTCTATAAGTTAGCCACCTAGTTGGTGAAAATTAGCTTTTTCAACTAAATGACAAAAAAATTCTAGGGTTTCGTATAATTTCAATGTGGATTGGACTTTTTATAGGAACTTATTGGAACTAATAATTTTGTTTGATAGGTTCCCTTGTTTGATCAAATGGACGAAAGGATGCTAGACGCTATATGTGAGAGGCTACAACCGTCATTGTGTACTCAAGGGACATGTCTAGTGCGAGAAGGAGATCCAGTGAACGAAATGTTGTTTATAATTCGAGGAAACCTAGATTCCTACACTACAAACGGAGGTCGAACTGGCTTTTACAATTCATGCCAGATCGGTCCAGGTGATTTTTGTGGGGAGGAGCTACTGACGTGGGCCCTGGACCCACGTCCGAGTGTGGTCCTCCCCTCGTCCACCCGGACAGTTAAGGCAATATCTGAAGTCGAAGCTTTTGCACTCATAGCAGAGGATTTGAAATTTGTGGCGTCACAGTTTCGAAGATTGCATAGTAAGCAATTAAGGCATAAGTTTAGGTTTTATAGCCACCAGTGGCGGACATGGGCGGCTTGTTTTGTTCAGGCGGCGTGGCGGCGGTATAAGAGGAGAAAGAGTGTTAGGGAACTTCAGGCTCGTGAGAGCTTTAAGAGTGTTGATTATGAGTCGGGAGCTAGCTTACCGGTGCATGGTGGTGGGAGTAGAAGGCCCGGAGGGTCGAAACCTGGCGGCGGCGGTGGTGGCTCGTTGCAGAAGCCGACAGAACCTGATTTTTCTGTAGAAGAGAGGAATGATTATTGAAAGAAATAGGGAAGTGTGCAAAAAGGGATAGAAAAAATTTGTGAATACGTAGACTTGTTATGTATTTTTACTATGATTCTTGAATTATACGTGGTTTAATAATACTTTTTTGAGTTTTTCAATATGTTGTTTTATATTATTTGTAAAAGCATGAATAGGCAAAAGATTATATTGTGTCGGTGGAGGGTGGGGAGGTAGACGGTGGTTATTGGTGGGGGAGGGCTGTCGGTAGATGGGTGGGGGAGGTTGGCGGTGGTTAATTGGTGGGAGATGGGGTTCATAAGTAGGTAAAGGCTTTATAAATATGTAGTTTCCGAGTGAAAGTCGATTTTTAGCCGACACTCCAAATGTTTTCTTTGTAGTAGTATAGTTTGACGTATAAAATGTTTGTTTTAAGAGAAAATTACGCGAATGGTCCCTATGGTTTGGGGTAATCTGTGCCCTTGGTCCCTGATTCTTTTTCTTAACTCGGACGGTCCCTAAAATGTAGTTTTGTTGCGCGTTTGGTCCCTGCCAGACCTCAAAAGACTATTTTGCCCTTAATGATATATTTTTATTTTGTTAATTCTTTTTTATTACCTCACCTATTATTAACTAAATAAATTATTAATAATTGTTTTGAATGGACCCACCCCAACTTAATCTTCTTTCCTTCCCCCAATGGAGGAAGACTATCCTGTTTCCCGACACAGGCTCCGGTCACTATCTCCGACCACATATCAGGTATCAAAGAAATCACCATAAGATCAACACAGACTACCTAATACTCGACCATAAATATGAAATACATCTGAAATCAAAGCAACAACTCAAATTCCAAACAAAAATCCAATATACAACTCACATCCAAAACTAAAATCCCCAGGAAAAACTTGCAGATACAATCTAGATGAAAACCATAAATTGTGTTTTTCCATATGAACCCAGAAATCAAAATCGAAATTAAAATCAAAATCCCACTATGACCATAAAAATCAAAATGTTTGAAATCTAATCCATGATGAATCCTAGAAATCAACCCTGGTCTTGAAGACAAAGATCGATGTTTGTGAAGATGAAGAGCATCGATGATGGGTGTACATTCTAATACCTGAAATTTGAGTTTTCAAGTTGAATCACCAACCTGATGAAAAAAGGAATCACAAATCATTAACCAAATGCTTTATCTCCTAATATACCCAAATCACCAAGAGAGTTAGGAGACATATCTATAATCTTGTGATTTTAGGGCTCCGTATTTGGTTTGATTTAATCATAATACACATCAAGAATGGTAAGGAAAGAAATGGAAGGGAAACAAATGGATCGGTTCGTGGGGAAGCATCTGAAGCAGTGGTGGAACCCTAACACCACCAACGTTTGTCCATAGGTCAACGGTGGTCCAAGCAGCAGTGGTAGGTCGTTGAAACGACCTCCGATGTAGGGATTGAGCAGCAGTGTGGAGCCCTAAGCTTCGTCATCGCCCCTTCTTCTTGATCGAGGGTGAAGAAGGCGATGATGTTGATGAAGGAGAGGTTGTTAGGTTGAAATTGATGTCCGACGTGAAATGGTAAGAAGGTGACTGAGAACTTTCCGACAAAGGTAAAGGAAGATTGGAGCTTTCCAGCGACGATAGGGTAGGGGATAAGGGATGAAGGAGTGTGTTGTGGTGGTAGCCAATTGGTTTTGGAAGAAATCGGTCGATGATGATGATTAAGAGACGATGGGTGGGAAGGGTGAAGGTAAAGGGTGGGACCGGATTGTTTTTAATAATAAATTTTTAATAAATAATTAACAAAATTTAAAAGGAAATAAAAAGGGCAAAATAGTATTTTTAGGTCTGGCAGGGACCAAACGCGCAACAAATTACATTTTAGGGACCGTCCGAGTTAAGAAAAAGAATTAGGGACCAAGCGCGTAGATTACCCCCGACCACAAGGACCATTCGCGTAATTTTCTCTTGTTTTAATAATTTGGACTATTGATTTTCTTTTAAATTCATATTATATTTTAATAGATTCAAATAATACGTTAATTAATACTTCACATAAAAAGTAAAATTTATAATATATAAGATATATCCTTTATTGTACATGTAGATATACTTTTGATATTTGGTCGCCAATTAGTCAAATTTTACAATGTTAGATATCTTTTTTATATTGGATCTATGTGCCATCAAATCTTTTTAGATTAAAACTACAGTTTTTTTTTTTTATTATTATTATTATTATTAACTATTTTTGTAATTTGGTCTAATTTTTTTTATCGTTTTTGATTTCCCATTTAATTCTAAAAAGTTCAACAAAATTTATCTATATAAAATAATTAAAAAGCAAGTTCTTCTTGTCTATTCAATCACTAAATGTTATTCAACTACAAATTCATTGTATGTTAATTTGGTATCTAAATATGGTAAATTTTAATTAATTGTATGTAAACATCACTAGGATGAGTTTGGTATTGGAATCAGAACGAACACGGTTTTCGGCGCGCAAAATACCAAAACCAAAAATGGTCAAAAATGGAAACCGAATATTGAACCGCTACGAGGTATACGGTATTTGTTCGATTCCGGTATCGAGTTCAGGTATTTGGTACCAATCCTGCTTTAGAACTGAATTTGCAACATATCAACATGTACAACGACACTTATATTAGCTAAAATTTATCGAACAATGACAACAACTTTAGAAATGTGGTAAACACTAAGCATGATGAAATAGCAATAGCAACAGTTTTAAAGTGTTACACACATGTGAAAATAAATTACCAACATAAAAAAACAAGTACTTCCATTAAAAAACGTGTCAATTATCAACCTTTAAACCTCTATAGGTGTCTTTCATTTTCCTTGTCCGTTTTTATCGCATATCGCCTCTAAAAGCTTTATATAAAAAGCAAAATAAATAAATAAATAAATATAATAAGTTAGCATTTAACTTATAATTTGTTACAAAAACAAAAAATATGCTCACTGTTATTACTAGTCGTTATTTCATCATATTTTAAAATATTCAACATCGCCTACAATAAATTTCCTCGTCTATCAATGTTAGCAAGTTTGTTCGATGTGGATATAATACACTCCTGCTAGTGGTAAACGCCAACTCGGATGCAACGATCGAAATTTGAATTGCCAAAATATCTAACAACATAAATATACTTATAACTCCTAAATTTAATAAATACTACAAACTAATAAAGTATACATTTGGCCATCCAAGAAATGATAGGGAATGGCAAGACATTTTATTTCCATCACCGAAGAATGTCAAATTCCTTATGAAGTTATCGGCTACACACCCAAAAAGACATTCTCATCTTCACAACAAATAACTTCTTCATTACTACCTTCATGACACGATGCATGAAATTCGACATCATCAGACTTTTTGTTTGTGCATTCTTTTCAACCTACGGAACAAAAGAAGTGACATTCATATCAACAACTTGTGTTGACATGTGATTTTCATCCGCAACGGTGTACATGCTCATCTTTCCGAAATAAATGTCTATTTAAATACAAATTTCATTGTGAGATCTAATAAAACTACAAAAGAATGAAGTCATTTAGCTTGTTAAAATTGCACCAATATGTGTCATTCTTGAGGCATATTTCCGCACATATTAAACAAATTGCGGTTTTGTTTCCAATCTCAAAGATGTTTATCGACATCTAAATCTATATCTATATCTATATCTATCTATCTATCTATATCTATATATCTTAATTCTATTAATGAGGAAGATGAGTTGATGTCAATGAATAATATTGTTCAAAATAGTTGAAATTTTATATGTATAATTTAGTGTAAAAATATTATGTCAAAGTTAATGTCAATAAATAACCATTTTAAACATATATTTTTCAATATTTTAACAATCTATTTTTAACCTGCGCCGCGCAACGCGCGAGAATTCGTCTAGTATATCTTATAAAGCTAAAATTTTCCTTGAACCTCATGCATTTGAAACTCCCAAGACTATTCAACTTCTACAAATTAATTTATTATTAATTGAAATATTATGATTTGTAACTCTTAAAACTCTTCAAATCATGCAATTTAATTGATGAGTTAAATGAAATATTTAGCCTATATAAGAAATTTGTAGATTACATATTGCATGTATGTCATCACAAAATGATAGATTATATTTGTAGGGTTTGAAGAGTTATATGAGTGGGTCCATGGATGAAAGAAAGCAATTGCAACTTTTCCAAATATAAATTCATGTAAAATCAAATTTGGTGCATGTAAAGTTTTAGATATTAACCAATGTTCAAATTTAGGTATGTTTGTAAAGGTATACTTGAGATCATTTAAGTTTATACTTTATGCATCTTTCTATAATCATAAGATGATGAAGTGAGATTGATAATTACTTCTCATGAGCTTTTGGTAAATCAGCCATCAAACTATTTATAAGTTAGAGCAATTAACTTTGTTAACATGTATGTATCTTTATGTTGTATCTCTATTTTTTATATTAAGAAAATATATTTTATGTACAAGAGAACATTTCAACATGTATTTTATGTTATGTATATACTACATTAGTTTCTATCATTAGTTTATAATTATTATTCCAAATTGTTGGTGATGATGACGAATTAGAACAAATGATTTTTAATATGATATGACTTTATTGTTGAAAACCAATAATTATGTGTGTTATAAAAATGAATTCTTTATGTTCTACCAAAACTTATATGGATGTACCCAATTTAAATGTTTTATAGTAATAAAAATAAATTATTTTATTACATTTGTGAATTTACTTTTTTCCTAATCATTCTTTATCGTAAAGGAAAAGTAAAATAATTAAAATATTAATATTTTCATAAGAAAATATAAGTGATCAAAATATACCTCAAGTGTAACACTCCTCCTCCCATAACCCACTCTTAATAATTTTTTTTTAAGATTGGTTGGAGTACATAACAACTACTATAGTTTTGAAATTCAAATTACCAATTTATTTGGACCGTTCATTCTCTTCCAATATTTCATAGCTTTAAGGAAAAAAATGAAAGTACAGTAAAGAAGTATAATAGTTTTTTTTAAATATAATAATGAAAAATCTCAAATAAGTAGTTTTTAATTAGTAAAAAGTAATAATTGTTTAAAATAACGTAAAACTAAATAATAGATTATATTATATTAATAAAGTATTGTTAATTGAAATAATAATAATAATAATAATAATAATAATAATATAAGATAGGAAATAAAAAATATTCAAATAAATTATTTATAAATTAGTTAAAAATAAGTATAGTTTAAAATAATTTTAAATCAAAAACTTAATTCAGTTTGATTCAAACACAATTTTTTATATCTTTCTTATCGTATGCTTAAAATTATTATAATATTGGTTACAACTTAGTATTAAAATTATTATTTCAATGATAAATACTTATAATATTGTTTTTATAAGATATAATTGTTAATATTTATATTACATTATTGGACACAAATCAAGAGTTTAAAACTCTCACTACAACTCAATAGTTTTTTTTATTTAAATGTAATTATGATTTCAAATTTAATGTAATTTTCCTTTATATTTTCCACTACATTCAAAAGTTTTTTAAACTTATGGTTATTAACGTGCAATGATTTTTGATTTTCCACTTAATTATTATACACATGGTAGCTACATCGGATTGGTGTTAAAATTGTTAAAAAATCGATTTTTTATTCAAAGCACATTGAATAGGAGTTGAATTCTTCCTACTAAGTTGTCATTATAACGATATAATTTGTAATTTCTTCGGAATTGGGATCGTAATCGACTAGTGTTGTTATTTTGATCCTACGTGAGGTCGTAAGGAACTTTAATTCTGAATTGGTAGATTTGTAATAAAATTCTGAATTTGTAGATTTGCAATAAAATAATTTGTATGTAGCCTCTTCCAATTTATGAAGAACACTATATTACAAAAATATATCTTTAGGAACTAGAAAATAGATCTTATATTATTATTCACAACGAGCTTTATTAATCATATTTCCTTAATATGACCTTTTGTGTAGCATTGTCATTACTTTCCGTGTGTTACTGATTGAAGTAACGTTACTTGTAGCACCTTGTTTAACTCAATTGTCTTTCAGTTGGACATATTAGGATGAAATGCTGATGCATATGTTAGTTTGTAAGAAAACTCATTGGAGATATAGTTGGAGCCTGGAGGATGGAAGACTTAAATTCTTGATCATAAAGAACTTACACATTACAACCTACGAATAATGCCTTGTAATACTCATAGGCCAACCCAAGTAATGCCTTGGACAACCTTCGATTACTCACTGTTACTGATCAATAGCTTTTGGAGGATGCTTATGAAATGATATACACATTAAAGTGATCAAGAGATTAGAATAATAACCATACAGTAAGCTAAGAATCTTAATTGAAAGTTTAAATGAAAATTTGCTAATTTCCATACATTAGATGCTTTTATTAACATATATAAATATTTTATTATGAGAATTATAAATAATATACTTGCACTAACCGTTGTATTTGACATAATAACAAAGATGATGGTTTAGACAACAATTTGATTGGTCAATTTGGTGTGGGATTTTATTATGCCTTCCAAGTTGTTGATAAGGTGTGTCGTTTTTCAACCCTTTGATACTTCTTTTTATATAATATACCATGAATTATTTAAGGAGTTTTTTAATCATTTTTGTCCTGATTGTTTTATATAATAATAACAGGTGATGTTGTCAACAAGAACTCCAAACTCTAATAAGCAAATATGTGTGGGAAGGAGAAGCGAATTATAGCTCTTATATTATCTAAGAGGAGATTGATCTTGAGAAGTTTATTCCTTGAGGATCTTGCATCACATTACATCTCAAGGTATATTTTTTTTAGTGTGATCTTAATTTTATACCACTTTGATTCATATGCAGGGTGGATACAGAGGATTTTACTCCTGAAATACAATACCATTAACACCTAAAGTTGCTAATTGCATTCATAAACAAGGTGGCACCATAACCGGGACATCACGAGGTGGCTATGATAACAAAAAGATAGTCAATAGTGTTGAAGATCCCAGAATTAATCAGGTTATTATAAAACAACCAAAAACAAGTAATTTTACTAGTTTTGTGACATATATATATGATATAACCTTGATGTTTTTGTGTATTTTAGGTTTATATAATAGGTGGAGATGGAACACAAAAGGGGGCATATGCTATGTATGAGGTTTGTTCTCTTATTTTCTTATGATATTAAAGACTGAAACAGAATTAGTTATTTTTAATGAAGAAAAGTATAAAATTTTTGTATTTATACAGGAACTTAGAAGACGGGGTCTTAAAGTTGTGGTTATCGGGATAGCAAAAACTATCGATTATGACATTCCGGTACTTTATATTGAAGTATTGTCGATTTTAGTCCTTCGTGTCATATGATTAAAATAAAATTCATTACTTTGATCTTGTTTTTATAGATTATTGATAAATCATTTGGATTTGATACTGCTGTTGAGGAGGCTCAACGCGCGATTAACGCAACAGATGCTGAAGAAGAGAGCAACGAGAATTGTATAGGACTTGTTAAGTTAATGGGACGTAATAATGATAAGTTTTGTAAAACAAGATTAAATAAAAGTTAGTGTTTGTGGTTTAAATTTGAAAATATTTATGCAGGGTTTATTTTTATTGCAATGTATGCGGCTGTTGCAAGCCTAGATGTTGATTATTGTTTGATCCCTGAGTGGCTGGGTCACCTTTCTATCGTGAAGGGCATGGTGGTCTTTTTAAACATATAGGAAAAAGAATAAAAGAAAACGGGCATGTGGTAATTGTTGTAGCAGAAGGTGCAGGACAAGAATTTGTGGCTGAGAGCTTAAGGGCCACCAACAACAAGGATGCCTACGGGGACAAGAATTGGCTTGTGATACCTAAGTTTTGTGACAATTGGAAACTTTTTTAATGAATGATAGAATATTATGTATCAAATAGCATTTTATGTTTAATTTGTAGCCTTTAGATGTGTTGGATATTTATTGTAGCTTCTATATAGAAATACCACTTTTGGTTTTATATTAATTGTATTTTTAGAAATTGATATAAATAGTCGAGTTCAAATACCGAATTTTATAAAATAATGGTACAAAACAATTGCTACGAAATTTGTTATGGAAAATTTTCTACGGAATTGGCTACGGAACAAGTGCTACGGAATTAGCTACAAAACAATTGCTACAGAATTTGCTATGGAAAAATTGTTACGGAATTTGCTACGGAAAAATTACTACGGAAAAATTGTTATGGAATTGGCTATGGAAAAATCGCTACGGTATTGGCTACGAAAAAAACGCTATGGAATATGCTACGGAAACATTGTTACGGAATTGGTTACGGAAAAATTGATACGGAATTTGCTATGGAAAATTGCTATGGAATTTACTACGAAAATGCTATGGAACTCAACTTGCAACGAATATATGTCGTAGAAACTATCATAGCAAATTTGCTACGGAATTCCAATTTTATAGCTAAAGAGTTTGCTACAAGAAATAAAGCTACAGAGTCTAATTGCTACGGAATTTTTCCGTAGATAAATCGAAATTTTCTTGTAGTGCTAACTAATAGAAATTTAATTTGAACAACAATGCCAGAAATTGGCAGCCCACTTTTATGATTTAATTTCAACCCATTAGCATGACTTTTTGGCTCCACTTTTATTCTTTTTTCGTGAATTATTGCAGCCCAAAATGTGATAATTAAATGGCTAAAAATAGCAGCTCAATATCACCTTATCTTAGCCCATTTCAAACAGAAGAAAAAAAAAACAAACAAACAAAAAAAACGTGCACTGATGAGTGCAAGAAAACTATCATGATTAGGACAACAAAAGGATCGAACTCTATTTTATTGGAGGGGATATAAAAACTACGACTTACAGCTTTCTTTTCTTCACCATCACGCACGAACAAGGAGTGCAAGAACAAATACGATTTGAAAATTTTCATAGATTTTTTCACATTAAAATAATTTCTTGTTGATTGTTTTGTAGATTCCGGTGGTTTAGCCGTCTTAAATGGTTAAACCACCGGAGTTGATATTTGTATTCGTATAATTATTTAGATACGTTTTAGATCGTTGTATAGGAGTGTTATTTAGATTTGTTACATTGATATCGATATGTTTTTTTTATCTTCATAGTTTTGTTTTTACAATTTTAGAAGGAATTATTCAGAGGGTAATGCTTAGTTCACATAACAACAAAGTAATAAGAAAGAAGACCGTGAAGATGTTAAGATGGTGGTTGAAAGTAAGATCGGTGATAATGAGATTGGTTCCAGTTTTGTTCCCACGGTTTAAAAAGAACCGATTTGTCGAAAGAGCAATGCCACAATGACGGAGATTGTAGAAGCACATGTTTTAATATGTTATGGTTGCCTTAAGGTATCAACAAAGGGCCTTCGATAAGATCAATCTTTTAGTGGATATCAATTATCAAAGTAGTAGAACTTCGACATAGTTGCTCATTCAATATTAACACAATATGAGTTGTCAATCCCTAACTACGACATAATGAGGGCTAGTTTGTTAAAATGGAATCACGTGTTGCGCGCTTATGTGTCATGTTATTATTGATTGATTTTTAACCAATTTACTTTTTGTATTTAGTATATATAGTCGGTGTTAGAGAATATTATTTAACTTTTTGAATGTTCGTGTATTGTTGTGTAACACTTGAGCTGTAACAACATCTTCTGATCAATCCATGCTAAATTGTATTTCTTTTTGTGTCACATTCGTTTCGCAATTCAATTCGTCATTGTAATCCTATTCTATCACCAAACATCAAATCAACAACGTATTTGCAAATCTAATGTCAATAAACCTATTGTGAGCATCATGTTTTATACGGGGTAATGGCTTAGAGAATGGATCAACCAAATTTTCATATAATGTCTTCATTTTCAACAACCTTCCGAATATAATGATATTTCCTGAGTATATGATGTGTATGTTTATGTGACCTAGGTTCTTTAGCTAAATTGATTGCACCCTCATTTTCAAAGTACATCCTTGTAGGATCTTCTATGTTGGGAACCACACCAAGATCTCTAATGAACTTCTTCATCCACATCACCTCTTTAGTTGCCCCATTTGATGCAATCTATGCAGTCAATTGCGACGCAATAGCGGTGCTATAGTGGTTAGAAGATGTAAAGAACCACAATTTTCAAAATAGTGGTTTGGAATAGCGGTGACGCTATGAGTGCCACAATTACCGCTATTTATTGTGATTATGGTCACCGCTATAGCAACGTTATAACCGTTATTTGAATTAATTCCATTTTTCGGCTATGTTACATAAAAAAACGTTTTTTTATGTCATTCCATTGAATAAAATTGTTTTTTCTTAGCCCAAAACAAAACTTTTTATGCAATTCCATTGAATAAAATTGTGATTATGTGACATAGTGAGGGCTAGTTTGTTACAGTGGAATCACATGTTGCTCGCATATATATATATATATATATATATATATATATATATATATATATATATATATATGGGGTAATGGCTTAGTGAATGGATCAACCAAATATTCATATAATGTCTTCACTTTCAACAACCTTCCGAATATAATAATATTTCCTGAGTATATGTCGTGTGCGTTTATGTGACCTACATCACCTCTTCTATGTTGGGTCCATCAAAGTAAATCTTTGTAGGATCTTTGTATGTTGGGAACCACACCAAGATCTCTAATGAACTTCTTCATCTACATCACCTCTTTAGCTGCCCCGTTTGATGCAATCTATGCAGTCAATCGCGTCGCTATATCGGTGTAATAGTGGTTAGCAGATGTAAAGAACCACGATTTTCAAGATAGCGGTTTGGAATAACGATGACGCTATTAGCGCCGCGATTTCCCACTATTTACCGCGATTATGGCCACCGTTGTAGCGGCGCTATAACTGCTATTTGACTAAATTCCATTTTTGGTCTATGTGTTGGGTGACAACAAAGCAAGTTAAGCACTTCAGACAAATATCAAAATAAACTTCGGTGAACTTGCGGAAATAAAAACTTTAGAAAATGTAAATCAAGTGACAAATATAAAAAGGAGTGCTCTTAACCTCACAATGATTACTCTCTTGAAATTTTTGCACACACACAATGATGGAGATATGAGTCTATTTATACTTGAGGGATCAGACCTAAAACCCCTACTGGGCCAAGCCCATTGGCCCATAGGCCCATGAAAGGTGGCAACCAATCATATCTCGCCATGCAACATCTTCTGGAACATTCTTCCATGTCATACAACCCATGAGCATCATCAACACACATGATGGACCACCTTGACCATAGTGGAGCATCATGATGCACATGTGGCGCATCATGAACACTAATGGTCCAACAACCATCATGGTGGCACAACATGGTGTATTTCTTTAGTAATACCAACTTCTGAGCATCCTTGAACGATCTTGAGCATCATAGAGGACTTTATAACATACTTGGCTCATCAAGGACCAAGATGGTCCAACTTGCACCATGATGGCGCAACAAGTGTATGGATGGCGCAACAGGCTTCAAGTGTGGCACAAGGACATCAAGATTAGAGAAACAACACCACCTTGGCATAACAGGAACATACATGGCACAACAAGGCCATACATAGCGCAAGAGCTTACTCTGTGGCTCAACAGGAGTACCTCATGGCGTAAGAGGGATCCTCATGGCACAAGAGGAACCCCTCACGGCGCAAGAAGGAATGCTTATGGCGCAACATCATCCTTCTTGGCCCATCCCTTTATCATATGGCGCAACAAGCTCCCTTTGTTGCTCCATATCACTCCCAAGTGCTCCAAACCTCTTCTAGGTGCTCCAAACCTCCTTCTGTATGATCCGTTCCTTTGCCTGTATGATCTGTTCCTTTATCAGACGATCCATTCCTTTCTTAGATGATCTGTTCCTTTGTCACACACTCCATGAACCTCAAGTGCTCCATTGAGTTCCAATTGCTCCATGAACATGATCAAAATGCTCCATGTTGGACAAGACTTCATACCTCAACAATCTCCCACTTGAAGGCTTGAACAACTTCATCTGCAATTCAAAGTCTTCATCATTCTCTTAATATCTCTCCCTCTCTATGCCAACCCCCGTCCTCAAAATCATGGAAGGGCAGCTGAAGGCATGCCCGACTTCAACTTTTCAGTGGTAAACACCTTAGTATATTCATCAGCTGAGTTCTCAATACTAAGGACTTTGTTCAGCTTAGTAGCCCCTTGGTTCATTTTCTTGAACTCTCTGGTCAGCCGCATCTTAAGATCATTGATCTTCTGCGTGTTGGAACCAGCAATCAACACGGCATCAACATTTAATACGAGGATGATGGATGAGGAGCTTAACTTCTTCAAGTAACAACGATGATCAACCCCACATCTTCTAAACCCACTCTCCTCATGAAGTTATCAAACTTTAAGTACCACTGCTTAGAAGTTTGCTTCATTCCATACAAGTTTTCTTTCTTCTTGAACACCAGCTTTTTCTTACCAGCTGTAAGTGCACTTTTTGGCTGTGCCTTCAAGATGTATCCTTCCAAGTTATCATCAAGTGGATCAGTTGTATTCACATCTAGGTGCTCTAAATGGATATTTTCAGAGGCCACTTCATTTAACATAGAAGTAATTGTAGTCATCTTCGCAACTGGAGAATCGTCCTCTCCTTTCTGTTGTATTCCCTTGACATCCAATCTTCCATTGCAAGTTTTACCACAATCTATCTCATCCTTAA